CTGCTGATATGTCTGGGGAATACACGTGGGATGGAGAAAACTGTTGGCACTACGGAACAAGATTTTAGCAAAGAGCAAATGGATATCAACTAACCACAAGGAAATTTATCCAAGAATTTAGGAGATGTTTTTTTGCCATCAGCAGAACGTGACATGGAAAGAAACTTTTAGTAGGAATGGTAACAAAAAATACAATTATTTCAAGAATGTTTGAGCTCACGGCCAAGATTATTACATGACTTCCTACATTCTCTGGCGTATTGCTGGAATTAACATTAACTGAGGTGGGTTTAAAGAAAAGGTATAGACAGAAAAAAATTGAATTATCAAGTAGTTTGTTTCTCAGTTCTGCATCAGCTGTACCTACTATTAAACCATGACAGCTGCCCCAAAGCTTGTCTTCTAGTGCACTGTGTGGGTGGTGATTGGGGCAATACCCACATTACTCTTGAGCAGGCAAAAGTTATGTAATACTCAAGACTGCAAGCTGGGTTCCAGCATCACTTTTAGAAAGGAGAAGACAGGGTGTTTTGTTAGTAGTGTTGTTACAGAAAAAATGTAGGTGGCAGTTTAATATTTGCATGTAAAGTCCTAAAGTCCAAGCAGGTAAAATAATTGTGGTAATTGAATTTTCATTTTGAATCCTCACCTTTTCTGTTGCTCAGGTTGCTATGGGACACTGGGGATGGAATCTGGGGTAATCCCTGATTCCCAGATCACAGCATCATCCATTCTTGAATGGCCTGGCCAAACAGGACAAGTGAACATTTGGAAACCTGAAAATGCCAGATTAAAAAGGGTTGGTCCTCCTTGGGCTGCTTTTATCAGTGATGAACGTCAGTGGTTGCAGATTGACTTGAATAAAGAAAAGAGAATAACAGGTAGGTGAATTTTGCATGGCTTTTAAGCAGCATTCAAAAAGTTTGGTTACTGACATCCTTTATTCCAGTGCTTAGTCTTAAATAAAGTCCAAGTGACATACATTACCAGTACAGCAAAGTTGGTTCCATGGACTAGCTTGTACACTGAGGAGCCTGGAGTTAGAGTTGAACAGGTAGAGTTTCATGGGCGAAAATGCCTTCCACCAGAACTTACTGAAGTGTTTCCTGTGGTTTATTGGATCCTTGATTTTTCCCTTTTCCTGCCAATTGTCTCTTTGGAGAGAGACACTGGTACCTCTGATGCACGTGTACTGACTCATCTCTCTAGGTTTTCCCTACTGCCCATCATGGCTGTGGTCAATCCAACAGTGGAGACAGGAATAGTTGTAGTGTGGTGTGAGACCAGTAGCAGGCAGAGTAAGCTAGGTGCAACCTCCCCTTCACCTCCTTGCCTGAATTGGATCTTGGACTGAAAGCTGGGTGTGGTGGGCCCTGCAGCAGAATGTTGCGCTTTGCCTCAGCAAACCGTGCACATCAGTGCAGCCAGAGTCTGGGTTAGGCTCTGTGCCTTCTCAGAGATGGTGAGGGAGCATCCATCATGATTTTTAGTAGCTCTGTTTATTTGGAAAAACAGCTGGTGGTGCTGTTTCCCAGTTCCCTCTGGATGCTTTGCTTCATGTTTTGGGAGTTGAGCGAGTGAGCTTGTGGTTACCTGTTCCTGTGACTCATGTTGACTAGTGAAACACCTGAGTCATTTGCATTTTGGCGTTAACCTCAGGGGGTAACCTCAGCCTTAAGTAGTGGCAGTGCAGCTTTTGTATCTTCTGTGCTGTCATTAGTGTTTTCTGTTTTGATTTCAGTTGTTCAGAGGTGATTTGATCTTGTTAATGGGCGTGTTTGCAGTCTGACAAAAAATAAAGTGACTTTAGGTGGAGTGCTTCATAGAGTCCTGAGCTTTAAGAACCATCCTTCTTTAATCAGTTTGGGTTTGTGTCTTTCTCAGATGCATGAGTTGGTCTCTGTAAACCGAGCTGCACACCCTGCGATTCAGCAGCCTGGCTTCCTGTCATTGAGCAACTCGGGTTTACCAGCAGCCTTTGTTATTACCTCCCTGGGAACTACTTGGATTTTACATTACTCCTCTCATTGCTGTGCTAATAACCATTTACACAACAGCTTTCCTAGTGAGTCGTGCTAGGAAGCTATAGTTCTTTCAGTGGTTCTTTTGGGTTGGCAGTACAAAAGTAGGGAAGAGTGGTGCTGTCTCGCAGGTGGAGACAGGAGTAGGCCATGAACAGGCTATGTCCATCAAGAAATGAGGGGAAAGTGGTTAGCAACTTTATATGGTGAGAATTAACATACGAAAGTAACTAAAATTATCATTTAGTTTCAATCACTGTAAAAGTTTCAGACCCTGGCACCTTGGATAAACTTTCTGAAATGTAACTGCACCAGTGAAGATTCCAGCTACCTAACTCTGGATTGAAAAGTTGATTCATTTTTACAAACTCATAGCAGTTTTTTGTCTTAATTGTCACCTTAATTTTGACAGGTATTATAACAACTGGATCAACCTTAGCAGAGTACTACTATTATGTCTCAGCTTACAGAATTTTATACAGTGATGATGCACAGAAATGGACAGTATACAGAGAACCTGGCATGGATAAAGATAAGGTAAAAATACCACACACTTTCTAGGTATGTTCTATTGAGATTTCACAATTGTAAATATAACTAATTTTGGTACGGTGAGGAAACATTAAAAAACTTTTCAATGTAATTTTGAATCATAAACATCTATGCAGAATAAAATATATAAATATATAAGGATTTGAACAGTTCTGAAATTCAGATATTATTACCATTTGGGGGTGTGAATATTCTATACAAGAAATTTCTGTTGCCAGGGTTAGGCTGTTTGGTACTGCATCTTTTTAAGAACAATCAGATTTCTTTCAGGATATGTTGGATGCATGTTTCAGAATTAAGGCTTATTTTCCTATCCTCTTGTGGTTACAGAATAAATGCTAGCAGTTGTTTAATTTTCCATCTTCTATAACATTGCTGACCATCTTTTTGACAAAATACTGACTTCTTACTTGTATCATAGAACAGCCCTTGCAAAGAGGAGTTTTATTAAAAAATGTAATGGTATGTTCAGATTGCAGTGCTTTGCCACACAGAAAAGTTACCTAATGTTAGTGGTGAAATAATAGTATTTTTCCTGTGTTTACAGTTTTGCAGTATTTAATAAAGAGTGAAATGAGCAGGTTAATGTCCTGCTTAGTCTTCCCAGTGGTTCAGATCAGATTTTCTTAAACATATGAGAGAATTCTTGGTAGCCTGCTGGAACTAGACTTCCTTCTTTTTCTTGAAATTCTTGAATGTAATTTAGCCTACTTCCATAGGCCTGTGGTATTACATACATGTAATAGTAACTAATAACCCAGTAACTTTTTAGAAATGGGTCTTAAGAATGGTAACTTGTTGCAAGCCAATGCTGACACAGAGGCTTCCGGCTCTCGGGATGCTTCCATGACTTCCCCCCCAAATTTGGAGGGGTTTTAAAATGAAACTGAGAGCACACACATTCCTCACAGAGGAATGGTTGCTCTCTCACCTGCTAAACCCATGGCCTTTTATATCCCAGTGACCCCCTGTCCAGTCAGTGTTACTTTCCCAGTGCATGAACATACTCATGTCCAGAGCCAATTGGCATCCATGAGTCCCAAGTTAGGGCGGTAACTATCAGGGGCAACGCATAACTTGTTGCCTGTCCTTCCTGCCTTGTACCACACCTGTTCTGCTCTAATTTGTCCTTGAGCAGCAGGCCTGGTTTTGGTCTGTTAGCTGGATATAATCAGCATAAGGCCTGTGCTTGCTTAAAAGGCATTTTGTTTAGACTTAGGTGGGGAAGAAGAAGAAGAACTTTTTCCCCCATAACTCTTCAGTTGTACTTGTTTTTGTTCTGTTTACAGTGAGTTAAGAATGTTTCAAGGTAGGATGAATATAATTACAGTAGGAAACTTTCCTCAAAGGAGAAGACTTTACTGTCGGTGCTGGTCTGTTTCCTTGCACCTATATGTGAACTAACAGACTATTTGTATGCAGTATTCAAAGAAAAACAAAACAAAACCAAAAAACTGGCATCTTTTTCTGGTTTTTGAGTGCCCTCTTGTGTTGAGAAAACACAGTCTCAGCTAGCAACCTGCATAGATTGAAGCTTCATGTTAGTTTTATTACTGTGTTAGAAAATCTTTGCAGCTGTTGCTATTCACAGGACTGGCTTCATTGTTGCTTTCACACTGGCACCACTGCTTGCTGCATGTATTTGCAGAGTCAGTGTGAAATACCAAAAAGGACCAAATTAGAATTGTTCAGTGCTATAAACATGTGAGATGTTTTTAACAGCAGGCACAGTCTGAGGATCATCAGAAGAATATTGCATGGTACCGTTATTCTGAAGTGCATAGCTGTGTGTATACATGTACACATACACACATCTTTAATTATATACTTAATAGAGCCGAGTGACTGGAGGTGTACACACAGCAGCACCCTTCTGGAGTGAGTTTTCAGGATTCTGCACTGCTTACTTTTCCTAAATGAAGCATTACAATTGGTTGTAGTTACTTAATTCCATTTGTATAATATAATGTTTGTCTTTTTTTTTTTTTTCCTTTCTAGGTATTTCAAGGGAACACTGAGTTGCACCAGGAAGTTCGCAATAATTTCATTCCACCTATTATTGCACGGTTTTTTAGGATTAATCCCTTAAAATGGCACCAGAAAATTGCAATGAAAGTAGAATTGCTAGGATGTCAGTTTAGTATAGGTAAGGCAACTGAAAACCTTTCAACTGTGCAAGTCAATCAGTGAAATAATTTGGCAAAGATTACCTTGCTTTCTTCTCAATGAGAAAAAAGTACTTCTTAGCAGCACAACCCTTTTGTAACTGTTACTTCTGAACTTCTTCCATAATTATTACACTTAGCCTGGAAAATACCTAGTTTAGGCATAAACAAGGTAATTTAGAAAATAAGTGTTTCAAAAGACACCAGTCACTTGCTTTTTATGTTTCTGATTAATGGGGTTTTCCTCGTTATATAACATGAACAAAAGCATTAGAGCAAGTGTTCCAGATGTTTTCTCCTGAAAAGGAAACATGGAAAACTTCCAGTTGAAAAAACTTTTCTTATAAATTATTTTCTTCTAAAGGCCGCGCTCCTAAGATCACCATGCCACCACCACCTCAGAACAAGAATGACGACAAGAATGATGACTTCAGCGATGACTTCATTCATTCAGTGAAGACTTTGCTGCAGACAGATAAAACAACTTTCACACCTGAAATAAAAAACACCACAATGACTCCAAGTGTAACCAAAGGTATTCACAGTTAACCAGCAGATATGTTTGGAAACTCCTTACAGAGCTTTGATCTATATTAAGTGTGCTTTCTGAATTTAAATTTTCTCAACAGTTAATATATTACAGCAAATTATCAATATTTTCATTTAATATTTACCAGTTATTAAATATACATATGATAAAAATGTTTAGTTGCATACTGCATGTAGGGGAAAAAAAAAACCTACTAAGCCATATTTATATTAAGTTCTGTCTTTCAAAACTTGTTTGAACTGAGTTCAGCTTTTAATTACTGAACAGATTTTGTCAGAAGGAGACATTGCAAACTGGACTTCCCTTCAAAATGGATCAGATACAACTGCTTTGTTACTTAATTCAATAATTTCTTGGGAAAAACACTTTTGATGTAGCAGTCATTTTGGCATGAAATTCGAAAATCATCATCTGGTTCATCATTATGTTTGTCAAAGATAATTGTCAGAAAAGGGAGCAAGATCACTGCAGACAAAGGCACTGGTGAAGTGTCCTTTGGATGGCAGAGGCCAGGATGGTCTCATGGCACAGGCAGACTAAGCAGAGGCTGATTGTTGTTAACTGTTAAGGTCCTGTGGTATTTACTTCAAAATCAAGTGGTTGCATATTTCTGGGCTCTTTGATTTTTCTTGTTAGTTATAATTACATTGTTCTTACAGGAAAATCTTACTTATATTAAAACAAGTCTGTTGATTTTGATGGAAAACCTTGCAAAAATACCAGTTTTGCATACATATAGAAGAGTTAGGTGTTAATTGACATTGATACTGTGGGAGCATCCAGCAGGCTAGCTTAGCTGGGGAACCTGGTGTGATAAATGCTATTCATAGAACCTCTGTGCTTTACACAACTAATTTGCAAATTAAAAACTGATATATGAGAAGCTCTTCTGTCTGACACCACTTAATTTAATGGCTTTCAGATGTGGCATTGGCAGCAGTTCTGGTTCCAGTGCTGGTGATGGTCTTCACTACTCTGATTCTTATCTTAGTTTGTGCGTGGCATTGGAGAAACCGGTAAATGACTAGATTAATGAATGTGTTTTAAATGAATGTTAGCCTGGTGTGTGGGAATGAAATGCTGCATGTATCACTGTGGGAGTGGCATGGTCCACACTTAGGAAAAGATTATTTGTGTTCTCTGTGAGAAAACATTCACTTGAATAGCAAAGACAGTGAAAACAGCTCTTTGTAACTGTTTTCATTACAACTGCTTTTACTGAAAACTGTTTTTTCCAGTAGCAGCAGACTGGTGATCACAAGCCAGGTTACTGGTGCTTATACTTGAACTTTGAGGACCAGTTACAGCTAACGTGATAGTTGCTGAGCTTAAGTGAATGCATCTTCTGATACACAGACTAGCTAAATACTCCCCTTTTCTTTTCTTCACAGTAAGAAAAAAACTGAGGGCACTTACGATCTACCTTACTGGGATCGTGCAGGTAACAAAATGGTTTTATGAAATCCTTCACTTAGCATTTTTTGTATGATATATATTTCAGATTGCAGTAACAGACCATTTCCACTAGCAGAAGCTTCTCTAATGCCAACTGATGTGGGCATAGTGAACACTGAATTTATTTTCTGGACAGACTTAACTGCTTTTTTTTTTTTCCTCTGAATTTTTTCGTAGAAAATGCCTTGCCTTCTGCTAGAGCTTGCAGCTTCAGTTTTTTTTTTTTGTAAATGAAGTATAGGACCTCCTAATTGTACAACATGAGGGGACGAATAATTTATGAGGAATGTCTTTATACATTTGATAATGATATATTTTGTACTTTTTTTGTCCTGAGAAAAATCTTTCATCTTAAGTGTGTAAGGTCTGTGAAGTTTTATCTTTCTTCAATGCCCTAGTAAGCACAGTGGATTAGTCACAACCCCTTTTATGCATATTTTCCATCCTGCGCTCCTGTGGCCCATAAACTTGGGCTCAGACAATTCTGCCAAGCAGCACCTGGCAAGCATCCTGAAAATGTTTATGCTGCAGCATGAAGGACTGCAGCAGCAGCTGGGTTGGTACTGCCTGTATGACTGTGTTTCACTTCTCTGTCCTCATGTTGAAAGTTTCCACATCTCTGTGTTTGTTCACTGGCAGTTTTAAGTAGGCCTTGTCCTTTAGACGAGAAGCCTTTTAATGACCTTGTTTTTATTTCTGACATGACTATTTCCGTAGTTCACACCATTATTGTCCTAAAATATTAGACTCAAAATATCGTGTATTTAAATTGAAATGTTGGATGTGCCAGATTTTTTTCCTGTTTAAATTTAAGTCTTCAGGCTGTAGGTCTGTTTTAAAAGGAAATTTTGCAAAAGACAACATCAAAATAATGTCGCTTCACTTCTCTGTGGAACCTCTCTGTCTGCCCCTTCCCACAGGCAATCTTAGATTTTGTTCAACAGTGTTCTGTGGTTTCAGATCTCCTATTTCTCAGGCTTTACCTACAGGATGGTCTCTTGCAGCTGGAATGAAATATGTGAATGGACAGCAAAGCTACAATGGCTACTAAGGGGTGGGATGGGGAGGAAGACTAACAAAACCAACCCACTCCCTACCTTCTCTCAAGAAAATGTACATGACCACTGAGATTGTCTAAAATGTTATGTAAATACTTGATTTACAAATTGGAATAAGGGCTGACTTTTTAGTATTTTCTATGTTGTATTTTGTGAATTTATTAATGTGATGGGTAGAGCCAGCACTGCTGCAGTCCCATGAATCTATCCCTGAATGTGCATAAGCTAAGGTTACAAGATACTTCTTAACATTTTCTGGCAGGTGTTTGCCAGGAAGCACTTTCATTGGGTGACAGTGATGTTGTCACCTCTGAATTCAGCCTGCCAGAAAATGTTAAAAAGTATCTTGTAACCCTTAGGGTCATGCAAATACTGATGATTGTTTACCTGCTGCAACAAAATACAAGCTGTGGTGTTAAAACATATTACATATGCAGTCTTTGGAGTGTTGTGTTTTTGTTGTTTGTTGTTTTTTTTTTAAATCCATGTGAAGGATGGTGGAAAGGAATGAAACAGTTTCTCCCAACCAAGTCAGCAGAACATGAAGAAACTCCCGTACGGTACAGCAGCAGTGAAATTAGTCACCTGAGACCAAGAGAAGTTCCAACAATGCTGCAAACAGAGTCTGCAGGTACACTTTACTGTTTTTGTGGGCCATGTTGATTACAGTTAATTATTTCCTGTTTGTTTTGGTGAAGAGAGTAGAAATGAATTGTTCTGCTGTTAAGTGCATTTCTTAAAATGCAGGCTTTTTCAAGACTGTTCTTGGAGTACCATAAAAGGATGCATTATTTGACTTGATGTGCTGTGGAGAGACAGTTTCCCAAGTTAATACAGTAATTAGATGTTTCTTGTACTTGTTAAATCCCACAAAGGATTGAAGCATTTTTCTGGTTGTTTTCAAATGCTGGAAATAATTTCACTCCATTATCTTTATGCACAAATGAAATGTAGCACTTGGTTCCCTACCCTGACAATGAATTAAATCATTCTTTTGATCTAGAAAAGGAGTTACTGATGACAGCACATTTCCTTTCCTTGGTGAGCCAGTCATTATAGGAAGATGACTGACTGTGCCGTTGGTATCATGCTTACATGCTAATGGCAGGAATATGCAGATGTGCAGCAATTACGGCCTCACAGCACATGGAATTACCTTTCTGGTTTTGGCTGCTTGTCTGTTTACCCAGCTAACCACGTTTCTCACCTCCAGCTTTTGTAATGCAGATTATCTGTTGAACTAAAACATGTGAGCTGACCACATGCAGTCTTCCCGCCTCAGAGGACACACCCTCTGCCCCAAGGACCACTTTTTACTCAAAGCCAGGCAGGATCATTTAATTAAATTCTAATTTTTCAGGGATGAACGTTTAAAAAAACTTTGACATAGATTTACAGCATGGGAAATTGCAGCTCACAAGGGAAGAAGTATAAACCTGAGAAATTAGTCTGTTGTGGCCATCCCAATGGATTTAGCCTAGTGAGTGGAAATTACTTTTTTTCCAAAGCAATTGGCACTGGCAGACAGAGACATGCCACCAGTGTCACAGAAATTACTATCCTAGATTAAGCCAGTTGTCTGTTTCATTTAATGTGGTGCCAGTTGTCAAAAGAATTTCCATTAAGTGTGTTTTCTTTTGTTTTGTTGCGGCCTGCGACACAGAGTATGCTCAGCCTCTCGTAGGTGGAATTGTCGGCACACTTCATCAGAGATCAACCTTTAAACCAGAGGAAGGAAAAGAAGCAAGTTATGCCGATTTGGACCCTTACAATTCACCCATACAAGAAGTGTACCATGCTTATGCTGAACCACTACCTATAACTGGACCAGAATATGCAACTCCAATCATCATGGACATGTCCAGCCATCCTAGCACACCTCTTGGCGTTCCTTCCATTTCCACCTTCAAAGCTGCAGGGAATCAAGCCCCACCACTGGTGGGAACTTACAATAAACTCTTATCTAGGACAGACAGCACATCATCAGCACAGGCACTGTACGATACACCAAAGGGGCAGCCGGGGCCAGGTGCTGCTGATGAAATGGTGTACCAGGTACCACAGAGTGTGGCCCATTCCACTGGGAGTAAGGATGAACCAAGCCAGCTCCCAAGTAAGGTAGAATGATGGCTTGTTTTTAAAAAGCCAGTTCCATAAAACTGATGGCTTCATTTTTAATTGCATTGTTTTGGTATTGTTAGTCTTAAATAATACAATGTTGAACCAAAAGATGTGGTATTGGAGGTCTGGGAAGCCAGTAATTCTGGTTTCCTTAATCAGTATATGTAATTACAGCTTGTCTCCTGCAAAACCATGGACTTTTTTATTACTACTGTGCAATTGTCTGTCAGACATTAGAGAAGAACTCTTCAAAATTAGCTTCAGTAACTCATAGATGTGAAGATAAATAGGGAGAAACAGTTTGAAGTACAAAAGACAATAATTTCTTGCTAATGGTACTATTTTGGGGGGATGGGCAGAAATCCACCCCAAAACCCAAAGCTCCTAACTTTCTAAGGTCTATATGTAAGCATTATAGCAATTAAAATTAATTTTACCTTATAAAAATGCCTGCACAACTTTGGCCTTTAAAAAGACTGTTATCAGGAGTGATGGCAAAAATAGTTTCGGTTCTAAATCACGTTACTTGAGTTTTTGTTCACAGGATTAGGAATCACCAGCTTTATGTTCCTCAGAAGGTTCCTACCATTTTTCTTAGCCTTCCAAAACTAGATGTGCTGTCTGTACAGTCTGTTTTCTGCCTCAGCCACTCAGTTGTGTTCCTTCCTTGGGATCCAGTAGGCACAGGCTAAGTCATACATGCAAACTACATGGCAACTGCTTTTATGTTTTTGCCTTCAAAGTCAAAGCTACTCTGACTAGAGTCTGCCTTGAATTCAGACTTCCCTGTTGGTCAATGTGCAAGAAGCATCCAGGTTCAAGATGTCTGAATTCAGAAAGGTTCTCCCTGTCCCCCTGTCCCCACTTGCCCTTTGGAGTATCTGTTGTGGTGTGTTAAGATGTGAGCTTATACAAAGATGTATATATAATTGTTGTGAGTGCTTAAGGAAGCATACACATACTGTAATGGTGCACAGTTTGTTATACATGTATTTAGCACATGTGGTACGTTTTAGCACAACTGAAAAATTTCAGCTGTAGGGCTTTTCTCATGATTGTTAGTATTAGAAGTATAAAAGATTCCAAAACCTTTGCAAGAGAACCAGTACTGTTCCAAAGAATATCCATTTCAGAAGCACTGAATGGAATTTGTATCCTTTGAATGTTCCAGTGTTCTCTACTATGAAAACATGGCAGTCAGTCTTCAATTTGAGATAAGGTAGACTAGTTTTAGCTAGGTGATCATGAAATGAAAAAAATTTGGATGTCATATTTGCCATTTTTTTAATCTTGTTAGAAACAAAGCACAGCTTTTTTACCTAAGTAGTACAGAAAAAAAACCCACAATAAAAATGCCTTATTTTTATTGTAACAGCACTGTTGGGAGGATGCTGAATTAATTTATATATGTGAAACACCCTACCTACACATTAGCCCAGTTTTATGGACTTCCGTGGCTACTGTTTGTTTCTGTGATGTGTAACTCACATCAGCCTTGTTTATTGCCCAAGTGTCACGATCTGTGTGGATCATACACTAAGGGAGGCAGGCTGATGTGGTTGGACACGCGCTCCCGAACGATCAGGATTTTCTGACACCAGTTTTGGCCACCTGACCGGCCTCCCGGTCGGGCAGTCGAAACAATTTACCAAGTGGTGCACATGGATTCGTCCCAAATTGGGACCAGTGTGCTAACTGATGCACCAGGGACCTCAGGTGTATAGATCTCTGAGCCACCCATGAATGCCTTCCCAATTAACCGTGGAGCCAAATTAAGCTTCACGAATTAACTTGGTTTATTTAAGGGGAGACGAGAATGTAAAGAATTACTAAAATCCGGAATTAAAGGAATAACAGTGTGTACCTTGGGTTTGACCAACACCCTCCTAGCAAAGGTGTTACCCAGAAAGAGGAGCATGCTAAGGTTAGAAATGTTACAGAACCGGATGGAGGAGGAATCAGTAGTATTATTGCTGGTCTCAGATTGGGTAGTTGCTTTGTGTGCATGTGAGAGGGCTGGTGAAATTTTCCCAGGGTGAGATAGCGTAAGGAAGAAAAAGCATGAGAGGTTGATACAAGTATAGTCCTTCTTACAAATCCTTGACAGCGCTGCGGCGATTTTGGGAACACTTTCTCAACTTGAGAGTGATGTTCTGGTTTGAGGGCATCCCAGTAGTTTAAGGGCGCTGCAATTTGCAGGCACTGTGGTGTGCTAAGGTGCTCTGGAATTGCAGCACGTAGTGGCTGAGTTGACGAGCCAGGGGCAGCAGGGCTTTGCAACTGGTGGTGGCTTTAGTGATTTGCTCCTTTAGGATTTAGGCCAGGACTGGGCTCTTGTCTATCCACTGCCCCTGACTTAGGTCTTACGATTTCAGCTCAAAGTGATTTAGCTCTGTAGTCATTCTCCACTCAGAGGTCTCAATTGGCGACTGAGCCGCCAAATATCAAGTCTTCGGGAGAGCCACATGTCGCGATCTGCGACCTATTGTATTTCCTTTTTGGAATGATTTTAACTTATCGGGACCTGCCGAGAGGTCCGCACGCGGCGCTCGCCTCTCACAGAGGAGCAGTCAACTTCGGCACTGACTTTTTGGGTGAGACACTTGTCCAATGCTCACTAATGCTTCTAAAAACAGCAGCCAACCCCCAATGAGAATTTACGAATACACGGTTTATTGAGAAGAAAAATGAAACAATTTGGGGCAGGAGGTTCAAAAAGGGTAATTAAAACACATAGGAGCTGTGAAATGTCTTTAAAACACCAAATACCAAACACTCATATATGCCCTAATACTTATATATAGATACACCTTATCATTTACACACCCAGATTAACTATTATTATTTAAGAGGGGAAGAGGAAGGAGGGGTATGCCTGATGCTTGTCCTGTATAAGGTCACGGTTTCTGTGGAGGTGAGGCAGGAACACCTTAGGGAGAGAAATGATACCCAAAATACAATCCCTTACTTTATTCCTGAGATGGTCTAGGTATTTGTATATTAGGTGCAGATGACTTCTCCTGCAACCCAGTCTTAGAACCCATGGGTGGCAGGAAGAAGTCTCACTGCAGGTGGCTGGCAACAGGCAGGTTCCACGGGTAAGCAGGACCTGAGCAGGCAAGGCCTGCGGGCGAGCTGGGACTGCAAAGAGCCACGGGTGAGGTGGGACAAGCCGGGTCTGCAGGGAGCCAGGACGAGTCGGTACTGCAGGGACTAGCCTGGACTGCAGGTACTGCGGGTGAACCAGGAGCTGGGACTAGCTGGGAGCCAGGGCTGCAGGGACTACCCGGGACTAGGAAGCAAGCAGGTAAACAGAAAAGGGGACCACTGGCAGGCAGGTAGGCACCCCCAAGGAGCAGGTTGACCCCCAAAAGGCAAGCAGCAGCAGCTTCAGTGTCCATCCAAAAAGCGTGGCAACCAGCGTGCACGCAGTCTCTTTATGGCTCTCCTTTGTTCTCAATTGGCCAGTCTCTTGTTTCTGGGCTTCTCAGCCAATCAGGCAGGGACTTCACTGGACGGCCTTGCTGTTTGCAACACTTGTGGTTTTCCTGCCACTGCTCCTCTCTAGCAGGTAGCTACCTCCTCATGGCGTCTGAGTTGTTGTTTTATGGCAGGGGAGGCAGGCAGGAGAGGGTGTAAAGTGCCACGTGGAGCAGCCGTCTTTTTAAGTCAGTTATGACTGCTGACCTAAAAGGCATGTTATATTCGTGTGAGGAAAGATCCGGTCCTTCACACCGCACATCTGGTCTTCACCTGGTCCTCGCTCTTCTAGTGTAGCTCTGATGAGCCCCTTCTTCTCCAGGCAAGCATGAAAAGGTAGGAAGCAACAGGCTCTGCTGCTTCAGTGGGCGACAGGCAGGAGGCTGCAGCAGTAGTCCATGTACTTCTCCTGAAGATGAACCTAAATCCCAGATTGGTGTTTCTTTTTGATCTTTCATTAGCATTTTTAGTCCTCCAGTTGGGTGCAGTGAAGCGAGTCCATCTCGCAACAATGTGGCTGTTTCCTGCCTCAAGCCCTCTCCATCAACAGGGTCCCTTTTTCCTTGTAAATGTCCTTTGCAGCTCCTGCAGGTTCTGTCTCTCATTAAATCATCTGAGTCCGTGAGAGACATTTATTACTCAAAGGAAATGTTTCCTACACCAGGGTCCTTAAACCAGGTGAACATCCAAATCAAAAATCAAAATCCTGTTCAAACAGCTGCCACCATGTCTTTATACCAGTATGATAGCTAACTTAACACTTGAAAATTTGTTTGCACAGGGGCTATATGTAAAGTAAGTAATCCAAAATTACTTGTGGCCTGGTTAGAATTGGGTGTCTTAAACCTAAATGTGAATGTAAGTAAGGGTGTTACATGACCCATTCATGAAAAAGAAATTCTTGCCTATAGTTGTATTTTTTATGTTACTGCAACTTTTTCTGTTTAATAAGGCTAGCCAGCAGTCTTTGTAGTTTTGCTTATACAGGCAAGTTCTTACCCATCAGCAGCAGCTATGACTTTGTAATTATCTGAGCTGATTTTATTTGAAAGGGGCAGGACATTATTTGTTTCTACCAAGATGTGACATACCTAAATCTATACATTCTCAAACTGTACCAGTTTAGGTTTAGAAAAATTAATCTACCATAAAAATAAATGTATGTGTTCGAGTAAGTGAACTTTATACTCTTGGATTTTATTTTTACTGTAGGCCAGCTATGGTAGAACTGTGGATAGACTGTAGACTAAGATGGTGTAAAAACTAAACAGTTTCTCTACAGTGGTTTAATTTTTTTAAGCAACCATAATGCAGTTTTATTATCTAAGCAGCATGAGCTGTTGGCTGTTGGTTTTAAGAACTCAAGTTTTTTTTTCTGAAAGAAATTTGCCCTGAGCTTTGCTTCCTGCTTTCAACTTTGAAAATATTAACTGCTAGGGCGAAGAAAGAAAAGTTTGAGTATGTAAGGGTTGGGCTTAAGTATGCTACAGCCTGTTAAAACGTTGATTCCCAAATGTAAGTTGCATGACACACTTAAGATTAGCATTCTCCTGTGCACAATACAAGCAGAGGTACATTTAATGGGTCTCTCTTACATGTGAAGACATAAGGATATAAAATGTATTTCAATCTTATTTGTCCTGAATATTCTCCCAGAATGTATGATCTTACCTCAGCATGTATTGTAG